CTGGTCCTTTCCATACATTTCCCATTTAATCTTTATGACTCCTTGTGAAGTTGGCACTGCATTGACACATGTGGGACAGGCTCAGAGAGTGCTTCACTCACGGTAAAGGGCACAGCAGGGCTGATACCAATGCCTGCTCCACTGTGTACTTTTACACAGCTGTTAGAACCAGGGGTCACTGGGGAGAGAAGAAGCCTTCCAGGAGGAGATGATGTTGGGGCTGAGCCCAGAGTACAAGAGAGCTCTCACCAGGCCAGTGCGTGTGGGGGCTGGACAGCAAGAGAAGAGCGCTAGCACAGGAAAGGCTGTAGGGTGGGAGCACACTGCAGGCCCCTGAGAGTGAGTCTCCCTGCATTTGTGCTCTGTGTCTCATTTGCCTAACCCTCCAGGGCTTCCTAGCCCCTGAACAGGTAGGTTGGTGCTGGTCGGGGCAGCTTGGGAGGAGCCTCCCAGTTCGGCTTGGCATCAGGGAGTGTGGAAAATATCCCAGTTTGTAATTCTATATTGTTTTGACTTGTGTGTGTTTGTGTGTGTGTGTGTGTGTAGGGTGTGTAGGGGTGTTGATTGATGTCTCTCACCCCACAGGCTTTTTATTCTGTTTTGCTCATCATCGTGTCCTCAATACTTGACATGTAACAATCGTTGCTCAATATTTGTTGCATGAATCAATGAAAAGCGTTTTCAAAAGGAGAGAGAAAATGATCAGATTTGTTGTAGAAGGATTTTCCTTGTGAGAAAGCCTACGAGTGGAGAGACCCAATCACTACCACCAGCTGGTTTCAGGAGCGAGAATGGTCCAGGGAACAGAGTGCAACAGATGAACTGGGGAATATTCAGGAAGGAGACTGGGCAGGCCCTGATAATGTGCCATGGAGGTGAGGGTGAGGGAGAAGTGAGCGACTTCCAGGTATCTGGCTTGTGCAGCGGGTACCTTGAACCGCGTAGGGGAGCCTCTGGAAGGAAAGACACAGGCTGAATTGGCACAGCAGGTGACCTCCAGACCAGGTCACCTGATACAGGGAAAAGTCTTCCCAATCTTTGTGCCCAAACTCCTCTAACTCCTTAGCTTGGTTCTGATGTGCTTGTCCAGCCTCATATCCAACCTTCCCCAAAGTCCAGCGGTAGAGCACTGCCTTTCCTCTAAACCCATGCTTCCTCCTTCCAGGCCTGCCCAGCTTCATCACCCCAGCTGCAGACTCCACAAGACTCAGCTCAAGGACACCTCCTCTGGAACATCTCCTCCACTTGCCCCTTCCTGTGGTTAACATATCCTCCATGATTCACTGTATCAGGAATGTTTCCCTGGCCTCTCTCCCCTGTTTTCTCAGTTCTGAACCCCCAGCACCTGAGACAAGGCCTGCATCAAAGTTAACCTTAAAATCTTTTTTTTTTTAATGCCCCTAAGAACTTGACTTTCTTCCATTAAGAGTGGGATCAGGGGGCCTCCCTGATGGCTTAGGGGCTAAGTGTCAGTACTATCTCCACTATGGTCTGAGTTCGATCCCCAGCCAGGGAGCTGACCCACATGACTCAGCAGACCTCTCCTGTCTTGCCTGCTGCTCCCTTCAGCAGTGTATTTCAGTTGATCTGCCTGTTCTTCCCCCAGCTCTGTCTCTGATGAATCCTCTCTCACACACACACACCCACTGTCTCTGGCCTACACCCCAGTTCTTCTATGCAAAAATAAATAAATCTTTTTTTTTTTAAGAGTGGGGGCCTCCCTGATGGCACAAGGGGTAAACACCACACTATGAAGCAATCCTCAGCCTCTGCAGCACGAATCGATCCACGGCCAGCCAGGGAGCAACCCACATGGTGAGGCAGACCTCTCCTGTCTTGCCTGCTGCCCTCCTCAAGCAGTGTATTTCAGTCAGTCTGCCTGTTCTGTTCCCCACTCTGTCTCTGGCGAATCCTCTCACCCCTGCATCTCTGGCCTGTACCACAGCTCTTGTATGCATAAATAAATAAAATATATTTTTTAAAAAAGAGTGGGATCAGGAGTTGGACATTAAATCCTGATACTACGCCTTAGAGGTTGTGTAAGTAGCTGCTCACAAGGTCTCAGTTTTCTCATCTGTGAAATGGAGAGGATAATACCGTGGACCTGAAACAGTTACTGTGAGGATCAAATGAAATACTCCGTTATGTGTTCCGTACAATTCGTGGAACGTGGTTAGCTCTATAAAAAATTTAGTTGTTATTTATTTTAAGAAAAAATTCCTCCCTCCACCTCGGGAAGCTGCACGAGCCGGGACGAGAGTTGCAGTTCCCAGGATGGGCGCTCGAGGGAAGCGGTGAGCAGCCTCCAGGACGACTCGCTCCACTGTGCGAAGCCACCTGCTGTGGACCCAGGTGGCCCGGCTGGGATTTCCGGGCCTTCCCGGCCCCAGAGCAGGTGGAGGCTGGCCAGGGCGGCTCCGGAGAAGCCTCCGCGATGGGCTGGCCTCTACTGACTCCTCTACTGACTCCCACAGTTCCGGCGGGGTCTCTTCTCAGCGTGGGGGAGAGACGAGGAGCCAGAGAGGCCAAAATGGAGGGCAACTGGGATTTATACCCATTTGTCATTTATCCCCAGCTTGTCATTTGTTTTTTCAAACATGAATATGGTCACTTGTTTGTAGAAATTTTTATAATTGATCGATGTTTTTCCTCTGGCTTCTAGCTTTGCTATGCTTAGAAAGTCTTTTCCATTTCCAAGCTTACTAAAACACCTATTCATCTTTTCTTCTAGAACATTACGGTGTTATTTAAATATGTGCTCCACCTGGAATTTATTTCTGTGGCGCCCAAGGGCATAGCTTCCTTTTATTTGCCCAAATGACTTGACAGTTGTTCCACCCATTTTTTGAAAGGCCTATATTCTTCCCCCACCCTCCAGTGTATCGCCATGGTGCAATGAATTCCCTTGTGTGGTCAGATGCATTTCTATATTTCATTTTGTTGCACTCAATGATCTAGTTCTGCTTTAGTACCATGTTGCTTTAAATACACTATTTTATAATATGTTTTCATATCAGATAAGGCAAATTGCTTTCCATTAATTTTTATTCTGGATTTTTAAATTCCATATGCTTATTCTTCTACATGTCCTTAAGAATCAAGACCACCACATCCAAGCCTTCCCAAAGACAATATGGTTGTTTGAAGTCTCTAAAATTATATGCAAATTGTACATTTGCACATTTCTGCAGGGCAGGTCCAAGTTTTCATCAGATGTGCAAAGAGACCATGATTCCAAAGGGAGTCCCGGTTACATGTGTCTGTGATAGGATGTATGAGAGGAGCACAGGAGAAGCCTGATTCCTTCCTCCCTCTCCACATTATTACAGGTTCTGCTCTCCCCAACCTTCCACCAGCTACTCCCTTTGTCTCCATCTTGACTCCTCTAATCTAATCCTCCTTACTGTTCTAGAGCAACTGTTTTATAACACATACCCTAGTTCTAGATCTGATATAGAGCAGATAATAACAAATGTTTAATTAATCAGTTAATAAAATTATGAGCCTCAGTCCACCTCTGGTCAGCTGAGGGACCCACTCAGGGCCTCCACATTATCGAGTCTTCAATTTACCCTCTAACAGGCTAGGTGAAAAGGGGTGAGATAGAGTAAATAGAAGAGTACAGCTAGCTAGTCCACAAGGGTCATTTAATCTTAATAATTTTCATTTTTCTCCAGTTTTCCACCCTTTATTCACATCTTAATCCATGTTCTCAGCACAGAGATTACGTTTCTCGTCTGCCTCTAGCAAACACTTAGGAAGGCAAATATCAACAATATTGTCCCCTCTGTTAACGAATGAAATTAAAAGCACAGGAATCCCAACATGGAATTTTCCAGCTAAGCAAGGTTAAACACAGAAAGATGGGGCAGGCATGACCCTAGGGAAAACTTTACAGCATCCCCTTCAAGTCCCAGGCTGCCAAGGAACCCAAGGTCTCAGGGACCCCATTTGGAAGTTCATTTAGGGAGATGCCAGATCCTAGAACAGGGTTTCTTACCTTTGGCACTATTAACATTTTGGGTGTGATCATTCTTTGGTGGGGGGGGGCTTACCTGTGCATTGCAGGATATTTAACAGCATCCCTGGTCTCTTCTCACTAGATGCCAATAACAACCCCCAGCTATGACAACCAAAGATGTCTCCAACATTGTCAAATGTTCCCTGGAGGACAAAATTGCCCCATGTTGATAACTGCTGCTCTAGAGGTGGAGAGGGCGGGGAGGGGAGGGAGGTTAATTTGGGTCTCTATTCCTTTGCCCTTTGTCTGAAAGGGGCATCATACATTTTTCTTCATAGCAGGGATTTGGGTAAGTCTTTTCTCCTTTCTGGGCTTCAGTGTTTCCATGTGTAAATTGGGTTGGATGTTCGTAAATCATTTCCCCTTCTCTCACCATCTGATGTTATAGGACGTGGTCGAGGGTGAGGCAGGGGTACTGTGGTGCCAGAGAAGTCTTGGGAGGTGGCCCAAAGAAAAGGAAGGATGAGAAAGAACAGAGGTGGTGGTGTGAGAGGGCCCTAGCTAGAATGGCACTGAAGCATTCTGCAGGGACCTTCCTTTAGACCCCGCCCCCTCTTGGCCTTATTAGCATACGAGGCCCCCAACCAGGCAAATCCAGACGCTCCCTATTCCCCTAGGCCACGCCCACCAGCAGAGGCCCTACCCCCATTGGCCCCGCCTCTTCCAGTGGCCCCTCCCCCAGCAGGGGCCCCGCCCTCGTCAGGCCCCGCCTCCCTCTTCGCCTCCCGCCAGCCCGGGCTTGGGCTTTGCACCCCGCGGCGGCTGAGGACGGTGGTGGCTGCGGAGCCGGCAGTGCAGGCGGGCGGAGCGGAGCTGCCCGGCCCGGTGGCGGGCGATGCCCCCGTGAGCCTCTCTCGCCGCCCCTCCCCGCCCCGCGTCCCTACCTCTTCGGAGTCCGCCGCCCGCCTGGGACCGGGCCGCGCCTACCGCCGGGTCCGCGGGGCGGGGTCGCGGGGCAGCACCTGCCCCGCCTTGAGGCGCCGCCTCGGCCAGCAGAGACCCCTCCCTGTCTGGACCCCGACCCCACCTCGGGGTAAGTCAGTAGGCCTTGCTCGCCTGGGAGTGGGTGTGGGGAGGGGGCTGCGGCAGTCTTGGGGGTCGGGGGTGGGGAGGTGCGCTGGCCGTGAGGCGCCACGTAGGGATCTGAGTGTGCAGGGTCTGGGGCTTGGGGGGGGCCGGGGCCCGGGGGATGGGCACAGGGTGTATGATGGGTGTGGGGTGGGGGGCTGAGGTAAGGGAGGGGGGTCATGGGGTGTGGAATATGTTTGGGGAAGCCTGGAAAATGGGGTTGGGAGCCTCAGAGTCTTGAGTTCTTTGCTGATGCTGAGAGCACCTGGGGCCCTGGGCTTCAACAGCTTTGCCTCGCATGGCATTTTTGGAAAGTGCTGAAAATCCCTCCTGGAAAGGGAGCTGGAAAGCAGCCTGCCTTTCTCCCTCCTGCCCATGCCCTGGTTGAAAAGCAGCCACTCTTTCCTCCCAATGTGACACTATTGTGGTGTCCAGAGGACCCCCCACCCTATGATAGAAGGGTGGTGCTCACTCCAGCCCTAGGGTGGGAAGGGAGGGTTTCTATGAATCTGGGAAAGGCAGTTGGTCAGCCCACAATGGGGAGTCTCGGCACCACGTCGGTGGGCAGCCTCTCCTTCAGGGAGAGGAGGGTGTCTTTGCAGGTTGGCCTCCAGACTGCCAGAACCCATGTCCCCATCATCTTCTCTGGACAACCCAGCCCCTGAAGATGGGTTTTGTCCCATATCCTGGATCTGGAAATTCAGGGAAGGCCCGTAGCGCCTGTGGTCCTGTATGGAGTGGGCAATGCTATACCCAAGGCCAGATAACATAGTTTGCTGGCACTACCATCTGGGGGCTGTTTGATGTGACCCCTTAGGGCTGGGGAGCCTGGGTGAATGCAGGTGCTCAGTTCCCGTCCCAGGGATGTTGTCTGGATGTGGGAAGAAAGGCTGCTGCCTATTTATCTTGTCCTCTGTCCGTGATGACTTCTTAAGAATAGGTTCATTGGTTTTAGGCCCTGAAGTAGTGAAGAGAGGGTCTTTCTGGGATAGAGCTAGTCATGAAGGGGTTAACTAGCTAGCCCCTCAGTTACTGCCAGCCACCCATTAGTCTGTAATCAGGCAGCTGCCAAGTGTCCCTGGGGGTGTACAGGCAGCCTAATGGGGCATTTGGGGGGGGGGGATTTTGGGGAGGGGTTTGTGAAACCTGTGTTTAAACTAACCATGCCCTTCAGAGCTTGTTTAGAGCTCACAGACCCCTGCCCTGCCCTCTGTGCCTGGCTTAAAGACCTCCAGCCATGGGGTTCTACACCTACCGAGTCATCTGCATGATGTGAAGCCCAGAGTCCAGCAAACTTGGCTGCAAACCCAGCTTCAAACCCAGCCTCTGCCACTTTCTGGCTGTGTGACATTCAGGACATCTCATCCCGTCTCTGAGACTCCTTAGTAAAACAGACCCACCTCCAGGTCTGCAGGGAGCAGTACATGAAATGGGGGATTTGGACTGTTTAGCACAGTGCCTGGAACTCAGGGGAGCTCAGTAGGTAACTGCTGAACACCCAAGTAACCTCTGTGCTAAGGACTTGAGGGACAGGCAGGGGAGAGCCAGGCTGAGGACCCGCGGGGACAAGGTCTCTTCCCTTGGGGCATGTGGACTCTGTGGGCCGTGCACTGTCTGCCTTAACTATTTTATCCTCCTCCCTCCTTGCTCATAGACACTCTGGTCTCTGGACGTTAATTGGATTTTACTCTATGGAACCCAGGGCTGACCTACTATTTTTCTGGGTTCCCCCTATCCATATCCAGGTGCTAAGCTTTATGGGGTCTGTCAGGGGTCTAGTTGATGCCTGTAGTTGCAACAGAATCTGGCCCTTTAAGGAGGGAAGAAAACAATTATCTGGCCTGGGCATTGCATCAGCTGGAGCCTGGAGGGTCCCTGGGGAGGGGGAGGGCAGGCTGGTGGTTGATTTCATTAGTGCCATGTGAGAACTCTCACCCGAGTATGCCCCACTCCCCAGCCGCAGCCTTCTCCCCTAGGCAGCAGCAGCAGGCCTGGTGCCTGCCCCCCACCCCACCCTGGGAGCACCGCCTTGGAGGACTCTGTCTGCACACTCCAAACCTTGTCATTGGGCCCAGGCGGAGCTAGGTATAGGGAAGAGTCTCTCACTGGCCTTTTGCTGACTTGGGGTGCAGGGTGAGCTTCCTGCCCAAGCATTTGGCTGACAGTGGGGATATCTCCCACTTTAGTATTTGGCTGACATGAGGGCATGTCTCCCCCTCTCCCCACCGCCTCTGGCATTTTGTTGACCCAGGGGAGGGGTGACTTCTACACTGGCCTCTGGCTGGCATGGTGTTTTGCTGACCTGGCAGGGGATCTGCACCACCTGGGGTGTGTGTGAATGGAGGACACAGGTTAGAAACAAGTGAGCTGTCTGGGTGTGGTGACTCATAGGGGCAGAGAGGACACTAGATACTCGGGCATCAGACAGCTGAGTTCAAATCCCACATCTTCCACTTCCAGGCTCTATTACCTCTTCAGGTAGGTGGCCTCAACTCCCATACCTCAGTCTCCTCTGTAAGACAGGAATAATTTATACCCCGTTGCCCTACCTGGAGGATGCTTGAAGGATTGATGTCGTAACTGGACGTTCACCATCCAACTCAGGGCTGGCAGGAGGAAACTGCACACTGAATAACGATTCCCTTCCCTTGCAAGGGTGCTTCACACCTGCAGCTGCAGATACCTGGACAAGAAAAGGAGTTGGGCAGGACTGGAGAGAAGGTCAGAGAGTGCAGTGCCCTCTTGCCTCTGTGGCAAGAGGTGTGTTCAGCCTCCCTGCACCTGATGTGCAGGAAGCTGTAGGAGCCAGGCAGCCCCTGCCCTCCAGGTGCTTACATTCCAGCTGGGAGAGGGTCCAGAGCAGTAATTACACTGTGTTCCAAGGGAGGAATTTAGGAGGCCAAGGGTGACGAGGAGTTGGGAGGCAAAGAAGAGAACAGTGTCTATGGCCTTGGTGAAAGTGAGAACAGGCCTGCTGTGATGGGGGAGGGCAGGGGCGGTAGAGAGAGGGGAAAGAGTGGGCAGCACAGCCAGGCCTGGTCTCCCTGGACTAGCAGGCTGCTAAAGACTTGCGAATCGTCCTGAGGCCAGTAGCAGCCCCTACAGGGTTTGAAGCAGGGGAGGCTGGGTCGAATTTCCAGAGTGTGCATCCTGGCCTGTGGCCCTCAGGTAATGCTTTCTCAGGGGTGACCTTTCGCCCTCTCTTAGCCCTTCTCTGTGCAGCAGCCCTGGTGCCCAGGGAACCAGTTGTTTGTGTGGCTCATCCCGGAGGGAGGGGCCACTCCCAGTCTCTACTGCTCTCTCTCTCTCTGGGCTGCTGCCTTGTTGACGAAGCTGGTCCCTTGGGGCCAAGTTCTCCCAACCTCCCTGGGGAGCCAGAGGACATAAGGCAGGTCTTTGGCACCAGGCTGGCCTGTGCTCACCTCCCAGCTCTGCATTCAGGAGGTGGGTAAGCTCTGGCAGGTCACACCCTGTCTTGGAACTTCACCATCCTCAATTATATAAAACAGGGTTGATGTTTTTTTTCTCTATGGGAAGGATAAAATGGAGTTCCAGATGGAAATCAGAAAACCCTATCTGCCCGTCAGGTGGCTTGTTTACTCTATCGCATACCTGCTCATATCGTTGTATTGACACCTGTCCTGGGCCAGGCCAAGGCTCTGGTCCAGCCTGGGGTGGGGGCAGGGCTGGTGGCTCGGGTGTTTGGTTGCAAGGACCCCGTGTTTAGAAGGGTCCCACACCTGGCCCGAGGTCTTGCTGTCAGCATCTTGGTGTTCTTAATCAATTTGAAATAATTCTTAAAAAAAAAGGAGCTCCGCATTTGACCCAGCACTGGGCCCTGCCTATTGTCCAGCCCCATGAACTGGCTCAGGCTAGGAAGAGGCAGGGAGAGACAGGTCTGCAAATACTTCCCAAGTGGGGGAGGCTTAAGGTGGAGGGCATGACTAACTGGCCGGAGGTGGGTGGGATGTTAATAATAGTAACATTTATTTAGTGCGTACTGTGTGCTAGGTTCTCTGCTAAGCACTTCACAAGCTCATCCTCAAATAGGCCTATGAGGTAGGTACTAAAGTAATTCCCATTGTATAAACGAGGAAAGTGTGGTTCAGTTTCTTGGCCAAGTCACATAGCTATCAAGTGGCAAAGCTGGGATTCAAACCCAGGTTGCCCAGCTGCAGAGCACATGCTGAGACCAGGGATGCCTCCACTAGGAAGGGCACCCTGAGCTGGTCTGAGGGTAACTTGGAGTTTCTGAGGAGCAGGAGGAGGCGGAGGAGGAAGGTGTCATGGGGAAGCGGGGGCTGGGGGGGGGGGTCCTTCCATCTGGCAGTGCAGTGCAGTGAGGCTCCGCCAGGGGAGGTGGATCCTAAGCCTCAGCCTGAGAAAAGTAACCTTTGCTTTTCACAGTTCTGCTCACTCCTGCCTCCAGGCCCTAGTGCTAACAAGATTCCTCAGAGCTGCCCAGCCCTTCTTTGTGGCCCCCAAGCCTTCCCCACTCCCTTGATCTCAGTTACTCCCTCCGTCTTACCTCTTCTGGGCTCAAGCCCGCAGCCTCCTTGCTTCTCAGACCACATTGACTCACGATCAGCCTCCGTCCAAATCCCCAGCTCTGCATGCCGGCACCTGCTCTGCCGCCAGTGTCCCCAGCTCATCTCTGCCACCACCCACCCACTTGCTCAAGCTGGAAAGCTGGAAGTTCTCCTGGACACCTCCCACTCCTTCACCCCCACGTTCCATAGCCAGTCCTCAGCAGGTCCTGTTAGTGGTCCCTGAATCTCTCCAGCCCACCGCGACCTCCAGGCCGCCCCACCGACCACCCAGCACCCGACCACCCCACCACCTGACCACAGCACCAGCCTCAACTGGTCTTCTCTACTTTCCCTTCACGCCCCATTCCTTTCCTTTTTTACACTGTAGCCAGAGTGATCTTCTAAAGAGAGACATTGGATGGTGCCGTTTCTCTGC